TTTCCGTCTATATGCTGTGACAAAACGGCTCCGATTCCGTTGTTACTTGCATCAGTATCTAACACAAACGTCTTGCCACGAACTGGATATGCTAGCAAAGGAGCATCACATAGTTCAACTTTTAACTTTTCAAATGCTCAGTCGCATAGGGTATTCCAGTTGAAAACTCGGTCCTTCTCGGTAAGTTGGTGGAGAGGTCTGGCAACTTTTGCAAAATCCTTTACAAAACGTCGATAGTACGTTGCCAATCCCTGAAAACTGCGCAATTCATTTTTATCCTTTGGAGTTGGCCAGTCTTTCACAATTTTTATCTTGCTGAGATCGGTTCGAACTCCATCTGAAGATACCACATGTCCCAAATAGTTAACTTCTTTAGAAAATAACCTGCACTTTTTAACGTTCAGCTTTAAATTTGCCACCTGAAGTCTTGTGAAGATCTCCCGTAAGTTTTCGACGTGTTGATCAAATGTTCTTCCTAGAACAATTATGTCGTCTAAATTATGTCGTCGTTCCAGTTAAGACCTTGCAATACACATTCCATCAGTCGCTCGAATGTAGCTGGAGCATTGCACAATCCAAATGGCATGACGGTGAATTGCCACAACCCCGATCCGATAGAAAACGCTGTCTTTTCGCGATCGTTCTTGTCGATTTCTACTTGCCAGTATCCGCTTTTCAAATCAAGCGTAGAGAACCAACTTGAGCCAGATAGGGTGTCCATGATGTCATCAATCCTCGGTAACGGATAGCTGTCCTTTTTAGTCACATCATTTAACTTCCTATAATCAACGCAAAAACGAGTAGTGCCGTCCTTCTTCTTTACCAAAACAACTGGCGAAATCCAGGGACTTGATGACGGTTCGATGACGCCTTGATTCTGCATTGTCGTTATCATTTCGTTTACTTCTGTTTGTTTTGCTAGAGGAAGACGTCGTGGTACTTGTTGGATCGGTTTCGAATCCTGAGTATCAACTCGGTGAGTTACCAGAGCTGTTTTACCTTGGTCATTGTCACCGGTTGAAAACACGTCTGCAAAATCAGCAATCAACGCCTCGGCTTTTAGACGGTCTTCTTGATACAAATTTAGTTCATCCAGTAAATTTTTGGTAAGTTCTTTGAGTCTACTTTTGTCAGTTGGTAGAACCTTTTCCTGTTGCTCCATATTTAATGATTTCACCAAATTTATTGATTGGCAATTACCTATTTCCTCGCCTTTTTTAATTCTAATAGTGTGTTTAGCGGTATTCATTATTCTGACAGGAATAAGACCATTTTTGTTCGCTTCTACCAGGCATTTTCCAATGACCGCGTTCTGTACATTTGTCTTTGAGGTTGGCTCCATCAAATAGAACTGGTGGCCCCCAGGATCGCAATTCAACTTGCCCCATACGATGTTTTCAGATGATTGCGGTAGTTCTAAGTCACAATCGACTGTCACTCGAATACATTTTTCGTC